AAAAAAAAAAAAAAAATACATAAGCTTTTATGTGTATAATGTAAAATGAAAGACCAATTTTGATTTAAGTTATTAGCACTTACCCTGGCACAGAATCCATTGGGATAGCAGCAGACTTGTAAGAATTGCAGTGAGAACCCCCAAAGCTATTACCACGTAGCACAAAGGAGAATGCCTGGAAGATGAAGCTGAAACAACAGAATCCAGAACAAAATCTTGAGTCAGAAGAAAGGTTAAAAGAAAGGTTAAAAAAGAAGGTCAGGGAGGATATCTGGGATCTTAAAGCCATTTGGCCTTGTGGGAACTGAGACCCAGGCCATAAAGATTCCTTTCCTAGATCTGTCAGCATTTGTCTAAAGCCTAAGGTAACCAACAACACCTGTATCAAGGATCACACTATATCAACTTAAACAATATTTTTTTCCTTTGAAATGGGGGCTTATGTGATCTCATACTTTGGTGGTAAAAATATAAATTGATACAACCTCTTTTTTTTTTTTTGGTAGAGACAGAGCCTCACTTTGTGGCCCTTGGTAGAGTGCCGTGGCATTATGTGGCTCACAGCAACCTCCAACTCCTGGGCTTAAGCGATTCTCTTGCCTCAGCCTCTGAGTAGGGGGACTACAGGCACCCGCCACAACCGCCTGGCTATTTTTTGGTTGCAGTTTGGCCGCGGCCAGGGCCAGGTTTGAACCTGCCACCCTCGGTATATGGGGCCAGCACCCTACTCGCTGAGCCACAGGCGCCACCCCGAAACAACTCTTTGGAGGATAATTTGGCCATATCTACCAACACTGCAAGGGCATTTACCCTTTGACCCAGATATTTCTCTTTGAGAAACTTTCCCTACAGATAACTCACACATGTGCAAAATGTCAATCATGTAAGGCTTTTCATGGCAGCAGTATTTGTAAGAAGAAAATATTGAATATGACCTAAATGTCTATCAATAAAAGAACCATCAGGCCTAGTGCAGTGGCTCACAGGCTGTAATCAGAACTTTGGAAGGCTGAGGCCAGAGGACTGCTTGAGGCCAGGAGTTTATGACCAGCCTAAGGAAAACCAAGACCTTGTCTCTATAAAAAATAGAAAAAAAAATTAGACAGGAATGGTGGTGCGCACCTCTGTAGCCCCAGCTACTCAGGAGGCTGAGGTAGGAGAATCACTTGAAGCAAGAATTTGAGGTTGCAGTGAACTATAATGACACCACTATACTCTATGCCCTGTCTGGAAAAAAAATTAAAAAGAACAGTCAAATACATTTTGATATATTTATAAGGTAAATATGCAATTTCTAACAGAGTGATAAAGATAATATTACTGGCTTGGCGCCTGTAGCTCAAGTGGCTAAGGCGCCAGCCACGTACACCTAAGGTGGCAGGTTCAAATCCAGCCTGGGCCCACCAAACAACAATGATGACTGCAACCAAAAAATAGCCAGGCGTTGTGGCGGGCGCCTGTGGTCCCAGCTACTTGGGAGGCTGAGGCAGGAGATTCGCTTGAGCCCAGGAGTTGGAG